GTCCGCTAAATGCAATTGCAATTTCCTTTACCCTTCACGTTTCACGTTGACTCAGTGAAAGTAGTTCAATCATTTTAGCCAATATAGTTTTACTGTTATATTTGCGGCTCGAAACGGTGCAAGCTAGACATATAGGGGGCGCCCTATTATCCCTTACATCGCACATATTCATATTTCACTTTTATGTATCGTATTTATGCTTTTTCACTGATTCACGGCAGTCAGATTCAAGGGCTATATTTTTTATTTGCTGCAAATGGGGTATTTATAGAAACACTTTTATATTACAGGATATGATGTCAACTTTTTATGTAAATAATACAAATATGATGCTCTTAAAGTTCGTTGAATTTTTCCTACATTCAAAATCTTATATTTACTCTCTGCTGTGTAGAATAAGAACTGGTTCTATTATAATTTTATTTCAACTGAATGGAAAATGAAAAAAAAGTTATTCTCAGCATACATTCCATTTATTTTGTTCTGGTAAAGATTCATATGTGTTTTGTCAGCGGATGCATTATGTTTGAACTACGTGAAATCGTTCAGTCGCATAGTTGAATGTGCGTGAGGTGGGACACGGCTATAGTTTAAGAAGGTGATGATTTCCGTCCTCACGCACATCAACTTATACAACTGAACCATTTCACGTAGCTCAAACAGGATTCATCTGTCCACTGAAGACAATTGAATTTCTACCAGGTCAAAACAGTAGAGGGAGTACATGCTGAGGAGCACATTTTTTTCTCAGAATAGTGTGCCTTCAAAATAATATATTCGCGCTTTACTCAATAAAAAGCTGTTGCTTTCCACTAAATTAATATTCAAGCAAGGGAATGGGTCGAAGACATAATACTTTCAATCAGTTATTTAAAAGAAACTAAGGCAAATCCTTCGACAAGCAGAGAGTTTATTAATAAGAGCAAATACTTCCTCTACTTCCTTTACTACTGTCCTCACTGAACATACTATAATGCATTGGTTTTCAAGAAATCCGTATGAAAACTAAGGATAAGTTCGATACTTTCTCGATCTACGTTTTGCTACCATCTGCGATCAACATTTTATTGGCGATAGGCTGTATTAGTAGTCGTTTAGAAGTTAATTGTTATGTGAAATTGATTCAACTGCGACTTGCAAAACTGCTCTGAATAGGTTCAACTGCAACTGATATTTAGAACGGTTGAAGTACCTAAACGTACTTAATGCGGTTAGACGGGGTATGCCATAAGGCGAAGAAAAGAACTATTAAAGGAAACATACTTTAGTAGAATAATTTAACTATACACGGAAACCCGCGGGGCCGGATAATATATACAGGGTGAGTTTTTTCAATTACTAGTACAGGGATATTCAGAACTAGAGCAGTTACGAAAAAGATCAAATGGACAAAGAATTGTAGTTTTGAATGCTATACTCAAATCCAATTTAATTTTTCTACAATTTGACAGCTGTCAAGAGATATTTGGGAAAAACTTAATTATGGAAAATTTTTAAATTACTCCTAGTTCCGTTGGTATTAATTTGACAGGAACACATTAAATACAAAACTGGTAAGAAATTAAATTCCAAACAAAATGGCATAAGGTATTTCTCCAAAATAACTGTCATTGTTGATATTTGACACAAATTTGAGTTTTTTTAAATGGCAACCATACTTTACCGAAGAGAGCGTTTTATTACGAGTTCTGTGATATATCACATCATTAGGTTTTTCTCGAAAATAAAGTGTCTGCGAACAATTTATACCTTTTCAATTTAGTTGATCGAAGTTAGCCATGGAAAATAGTATAAGACATAAATATAGAAACAATTCTTATGAATGACAAATGACAAACAATGTCTTATACTAGTTTCCATGAACTCAGATCAACTAAATTAAAAAGAATAAATTGTTCGCAGACGCTTTATTTTCGAAAAAATCCTAACGATGTGAAATATCACATAAATCGTAATAAAATATTCTATTCGGTAAAGCAATGATCAAGTATGGTCGTCATTTAAAACAACTTAAATTTGTTTCATATGTCAAAAGTTACAATTATTTTGGAGAAATGTCTTACGTCATTTTGTTTGGAATTCAGTTTTCTACAAGTTTTCTATTTAATGTTTTCCTGTCAAATGACTATCAACGAAACTAGGAGTAATTTAAAAATTTACCATAAATAAGTTTTCCCAAATATCTCTTAGCAGCTGTCAAATTTTAGAAAAATAAAATTTGTTTTGAGTAGAGCATTCAAAACTATAATTCTGGTACTGGTCATCGAAAAAACTCACACTGTATGTTAACAATAAAAATTCATGTTTAGATTACCTTAAAAGGTCTACTTTGAAAATGTAAATAGCTGCTAAAATGAACTTAAATGAATTTAACATTTTGAATGTAAGACACCATACTAAAGTACTAAAACATTTAGAATTGTTATCATAATTTCATTACTATAAAAACAATTATAAATTAAAGTACGTTTATGAGGATTAAGAAGCAATTTAAAGAAGACAGATTAGACAGAAAGTTAAGTAATTGAAAGAAGAATAGCGGAATTCATATAAAATATCTATAAACATTTTCTTGCAGATATCCAATAGCCAAGCCACCTCCATAAATGTCCATTTCCACCTTTATATCATCACAAATATAAATTCCCAAGCACGAATCCAATCTTTCTTTAAGTTTAGCGTGGGATCACAATCGCTTTTCACCTTTAGTTCGGCTATCAATTCTCGCCGAGTCTATTACGTTTACTTTACCCAAGAGCAATTGGCTACGAACAGGGATAAAAGATCTTCATTTTTCTGCCATATAATAAGGTTATGTGCATCTACAGTCTATAAAGATTTCACGTTTTATTTCCGGGAGGTCGTATTTTATTTTAATGGCAATATTATTCGAAACTTTCGGAATAAAATCGCTGTTATTGCTTACAAATTGATATAGGTACAAGTATCAATCAAGAAAATACTCCTAAAACCTTTGTGGAGCGTTTCTATTTTGTTTTCCTTCATTATTGCCATCGAATGTACTTTATACAATATTCAGTGTTTTGACCAGTTTCCTGTTGCTGATATTGGTTTTTAAATAACTCATATATTTTTCAAAATGGAGGTCCATCCATACCGACTTTCAAAAATTATTTTAGAAATAACAGTGTGTCTGTATCTGCTACAATGGGGGTAATTGACTATTTCGCTAAATGTGCCAGTATCTTGATAATTCAAAATGATGCTTCTAATTTTAGTAAATTATTTATCAGATCACGACATAAACTGGTGCGTTAACGGTAACCCTATTAAAGGTAAATGAATAACATTTGTTTAGAAGGTAAAGATCTTATCCCGGTGCCCCTATAATATGTCTCTGTGTGAATTGGATATACGGGTTGGAGTTAATGTTCTTAAATTAGCTCTGATTAATCCAGCATACCTGCAGCTGTCTGAAAGAATTCCCTTGTTCCATTATGCACGTTCATTACCTATGAGGTTATTGACAAAATGCGACAATATGCTGAGGGCTATTTTATTTCGTATAGACACATGTATTAAATGTCTTTTGTAGTAAGCTGCAAACTAAGGGCAAATTCAATGTCTTGAGATAAGACGCGAGCATAAAATTATAAGAATTTTTTTTTTTGCATATTTTTCTGTTTCATGGCGAAGTGCTGTTTGAGATTGAAAACCTTGCCTTAGCTTAGAGTTGCAGGAATACAACTCAAACAATCATTCGTTTGAATACCATTTTTTTACCATAAAAATTAACTATTAAACTTTTCACAATTATTATTTTGAACATCTGTTTTAAAGTCTGTTTATTCTTTTAATTTAATATAAGCTTTGCTCGTTACTGTTAGCAAAAATAATTTGATGACAATATACAAACATACTACAGAGCACATGCAACCAGCAAATATGAAATAGGGAAAATAAGTTTCTAACAAATTAAAAAATGTTAAAAAAGCAGATATCTTTTTGATCATATGTTTCTATTGAGTTCTTTGCACGATTTTCCTTTTTTTTCTAGTGCAGATAAGTCATTCTCATGAATGAATATTCTAATATTTTGTTTTGTACGATCATGAATGTATGACTAAAAACAGCAAATATTAAAATTCAAACAAAAAAGCAAACATTTTTAAATATTTTGTTAAATTATAATAATAATATTTATTATAACACCAACTATTTGCACATTTTTACCTCAACGCATGTGAATTGGACAATATATTACCGGTTGAAAAATATTGGTATTAAGAATACACTTAGTCGTCTAACAGAAGTGCCGCGAATGTCTACTACAATGTTAGCTTTTTTCATATATTAAATTATAGTTTTTTCTCCGATTTTTGCATCCAGTGATTTAATTATGAACGAATAATATGATTATCTGATTTTTTTCAGTTTTATATCGAATTGATTTAAAATTGTGTTCGAAATGAAGTCGACATTCTCTATCCGAAATTTTCTAGCCTGGTAGTCGTTGTTTTCGGATTGAATTATCTGTGTACCCAATAGTAAATATGCTTGAAGAATGTATTTAAAGATGATAAAATGTAGAAATTAATAATACATTGTAGAATTTTTAATAGAGCATAAGCTTCTTCTTATTATTTATGTTAATTAGAAAACGATATTATTGTTTCTGTTGGCATTCCCCTAATAGTTGAAACTCAGAAGATCTTCTTAAGAATGTTGAGTTTTACACGTACCATTTGTTTGCCATAAAAATTAATAATTAAACTTTTCACAATTATTATTTTGAACATCTGTTTTAAAATCTGTTTATTATTTTAATTTAATATGAGCTTTGCTCGTTACTGTTAGCAAAAATAATTTGATGACAATATACAAACATGCTACAGAGCACATACAACCAGCAAATATAAAATAGGGAAAAGAAGTTTCAAACAAATTAAAAAATGTTAAAAAAGCAGATATCTTTTTGATAATATGTTTCTATTGAGTTCTTTGCATGATTTTACTTCTAGTAATTATTTTTTTTCTAGTGGAGATAAGTCACATCAGCCAACCAATTTTCAATGTAGATCCACAAGTTTCTGTCATACGACCATCCTCAGCATGCCACACGATTCACAATCAACATAACAGCAAATATGCAAATAGTTCCGACAAGAGACCATCGACTGGTCGCGATGAGCTTCAGAAAAGCAAAGGAGAAAATGTAGAAGTGTTTCAAAATAATAATATGTCATTCAGTATTTTTAATGATACCCAGACTGATGTGGGATCTCCGTCGGACCTCATTGGAAACTGTACAGACTTTTCTGAAGGTGAATCAGAAGACGAAGAGAACGGACAAAAAGAAGTGACCCGCAACATTGAGCTTCTCGAACGGGTATATCAAGGTAAGTGGTATAATTACAATTTTCAAAAGGTTGTAATGTCTTATGAATAAGAAGTTGACGAAACTTAGTAGTCACATTTACTGTCGAATTGAAAAATGTAATGACCTTAGTCTCTAGTAAGAAATCTTTGAAGATAAAACAGAGAAGCTGATTAAACTTGAAGACATATTTTTCAATTGTTGAGATTGTATATTTTGATCAATATACCAGTTTCTCATTAAGAGCCGTTTCGCACGGGCCACTCTGCAGCGCTTCTCAGTGGCGCTGCCGAGAAGCGCGATTTGAACATACATTGATGTACATGAAGCTATTCACACGGGCGCGACCAAGGCCGGACGACCGATTTAGCAGCGCTTCTGTGGCGTTCAGTGGTTGACTACCGCCCAGAAGCGCTTCAAAAAGAAGGGCTACTGATAGCGATACATTGGTTTAAATGCTGGCGTTCACACGAGCAACTTCACTCTGCTTCAGGTTATCTCAGCAGTACCAGCGAGAAGCGCTGCAGAGTGGCTGGTACAATGTTGAAGTGCGTTTATCAGCAGCGCCACTAAGAAGCGCTGCAGAGTGGCTCGTGTGAAAAGGCTCTAAGGGTGACCGTTGACCAGAACTGAAGCTCAGCTAATGACTCATGAATCATTTAAGAACGGTTTGCACAACACTAGTTCAATCTCATTTCAAATTAAACCGGAGGTCAAAACAGGTTCAAGTGTGAATTTGGAAACTACGAAATTTGTTCAATGTTGGCTTGTACAGCGCAAGTTTAGCCGACTGTTAAGCTCGAGCCTGAGCTCATGTTCCGATTGTTCAATTGAACCCAAGCTTGAGCTTCTATTATGCCTATAAGCCTTAAAAGTCTTGTAAACGGATGATGCGATTTGCCCAAAGTGATGTTATTGAAAGTTGTTTATCAAATAAAAAAAAAGAGAATCGAATTATTTAATTACATATTATGAAATTGCTTGGCAGGCCTAAAGGTTAATATTTGTCTGCTCTAGGACCAGGCGTTGGTTTTTCATTTGTGGCATAGGCAGGCAACTGGTCTCCATATTACTTAGTGGTCACCAAATCAATTTTTCACCGTCATTAGTTTAAGTTGCAATTGTAAAAGTTCCGCTATTATTATGCTGGCGTTATATTGGTTTAGCCATACCTGACTAACGAATTTATTCTCACAAAAATCTAAGTCAATGGAGCGGTAAAATTAAGGAGGTGGAATGAGACAGAAATGGTCAAACTAAATGATCATCAAGAATACCAGCTCACATGTTGATTCCGAAGTTATGTTGGAAGTTCGGGGATCAAGTACCATCAACGTTATTGTCATCTTATATATTACTGTTGTGGGAGTTAAGAAATCCCTCCTTGGCGAAGATGAGATTTGTAATAAAAATAACGCACCCTGTAAAATTTCAGACAGCATTTAAGAACCTTAAGAACTATGAGTTGGACTGGTTAGTGGTTGTTGCATCAAAACTTGTTAACGGCTAACCTGATTAACTTACATTTTGTTTGTAGTTCTAGTGGTACTTCATATGTCTTGTTTAATCTTATGAAGCTCTTTTAGTCGAATTTTGTAAAATATTATTTTACATTAAATAAATATAAAAAAATATTTTAAAAATCCAATGGCGGTAGCCGCTTAGGAAACCGTGCTTTTACGCTCTTCTGCTATTGCAGTTTGAGCTTGACCTTAAAATCATAAAACGGCGTTATGCAGCCAAATATCTGCTCTTTCGGGCTAATGTTGGTATTTTCAACACAATTTATACTTTTGACAAACAAAATGTTTGATTCTCTCAGATTTTTTATTTGAATAATAATTTAAACTTTTTTTTCAATTTGCTCTTAACCATAATTTAAGAATAGGCGAGAAATAACGAAAGGAAGCAATCAAAGACATTGACTCGGAGAAAAGGAGAAATTAGAGAAATATTCTGTTTCATTTAGATACGATCTGGAGTCTCGAAGGAAATTATCCAGGAATAATTATGATGCATTTGGCATCCAGTTTCTTTTATCAAAATTCCATGTTGCAAGACCTCTTCCTCCAATTCAAACCGAACAATAATTATTCACTAATTATATCTCAAGGGTACAATATAACCTTCGTCCAGGAAACAATTACCACTGTCGTCACAAGACACTGGACACCGTAATGGCGGGCGGTCAGTCACAGTAATCAGTTTTCGCAAAGATGAGGTAACGGCCGAACCCTCGTAAATTAAATTGTGTTTCAACGAGAGTCCTAGTTATTACGAACAATGGCTGGCCACTTTATAGCCATTTATTATCCATGCACGCCGCTAGCGAAACGTATCGCGCCCAATTAGCGGATGAGTATAAGCTTGAAATATTAACGCTTCAACAAGTGATCGTTTTGTGAAATGATTGAAGTCCACTTGGGGCACATAGACCTACAGCTTCATTTTAACGGAATGTCCAACATTCACACAGTCGAGTAATTTGGATTGATTAGCTACCATATTTTACTCACTTTACGTTATAAAATCTCTTAAGAACAGATGTAGGTTCTAAGATGTACTTCTGTCGCATTCTAGAAACTGATGATATTCATATGTACAATTGTATAGATATCTGGAAGCATTTCCAGCAAGTTAATTATTATCGCAGAATGGGTCGTAACCTTTATGTAGGGACTGCTCAGAAACGGTTACATCCACCGATGTGTTTTAAATGTTTCAGTTTTCTGCAAGGACTCGAATTGACTTGAGAAAGGTAAAAACAGATTCATACAGCTTTCCTAGTAATTCCAATGCAGAAACTGGAGTACAAAACTGCGTTATTAGTCATATTATTAAAATTCTTAAACCATATTTTTATATATGCCTTATAGGCCAAGAGAATTACGACGAAATAATTCAAATATGACTCTAACGTGATGTAACTTAGATAACTATTGGAATCGCTCGGGAATGAACCCTATTGAAATTATCTACGAGCGCCAGCTTGAAAAGGTGTACTATTTGCACAAACAACAAAAAAGTCAAAAAAAGCAAAAAATTGGCGCGATTGGCTTATTTTTTCATCGTTAACTAAATAATTTAAAATTTCCTTGGGTTTACCTACTTTTTTGCACTTCGAGCATTTTGCAGCGAACGTTTCAAACTACGGATATTGCACCAACTCTGTCTTGTAGGACATTTCATACCGAACACATTTATAAGTCTGCATTTTTTGTCGAAAATGCATACTTACCGAGTTATACCTGATTGTTTCGCAAAAAAAACGCGATTTTCTTTTCTCTCGCTTTTTTCTCACTTTTTTGTTGTTTATGCAAATAGCACATCTTTTCAAGCTGGACCACCTCGATTTTTTATATAAGTATACCATTCCCGAGCGATTTCAATAGTTTCAATAGTTATGTCACGTTAGAGCAATGCCAATCTGTAAGGCTCCTGGACTATTAACACTTAATGTTCACAACGTTGCTTTCCATTATTTAAAAAGGAAGATGATGATAGAACTTGTAACTTCCACAATACAAACTGCGAAATTTATCTAGTCGCAAAACTCTATACATGAGTTAAAAAGTTTTTAATGTCAGAACACACAGCTAAAATAGTTGCTTTTAATATGGAGCAAGAGCGCCGTGAATAGTTTTTTCTGTGTTTAATTTTTTTTTGGTCCAAACTCTGGCTCTGTAAACTGTTGTTCAAATTCTAATAATACATACCTAAAACAAATAAAGCTACAAATCTACCTGAATGCCTTCGAGGGTCTGAGCAATAAAATTCCCCTTGATATTAAAATATCGAAGAAAATATTTCTATTATTTAGTCTCAGCTTAAGGGAATCCGGCGAAAATTTTAATATAACAACCGGAGGTTACCCATACTCTTTAAATACACATTTTACTACCACCAGATTTTCTTTGTTAATCTAAGAAATTTAATGAATCTAGCGCTAGTGACTTTATTGGGATTATTAAGATTCTTCTCATAAATAATTCAATATTTCAAACAATTTTCGGCAATTTGAATTCACTTTTAAGGTAAACTTGGCCAACTAATTACATCAACGTTTAAGCTTCATTTATAAATTAAGGGCACTAATAGAGCAAAATTAAGGAAAACTAATCCAGTAGATTAAAGCCTACTTAAACTAAACGGTTAATATGATGTCAGCCAAAAAGACACTTACAGACCGTTTGTCGACAGTTTCGCACTTAACTAACGTCATATAAGCACCTTAGCATACACGTATCTGCTTTTGCACGTGCCGAGTTGGCAAATATTACCAAAGCGCACATTAAGGACCCAAGATTACCAAATTAAACAAATGAAGTGAAGTTGGGTGGCTTAATGTTTACTGCAGTTAAGTAGCAGGAATAGCCTGTGAGTAATATAATCACTAATTCGTGGTAGATCACAATTATTACAATTAACTGAATGTGGGTATGTAGATATCCAGATATAAAATATAAAATTAAGCGATGTTATCATTGTGCTTACTATCGGTTATTACCTATATTTCGGAGGCATAAGTAAGAATATGAGCCAACATGGACTTTTATATTGATGATAAGCTTTCTTTAAATTTTAATACTCCAGTTTTTTTAGCAATTCTAGATTTCATTCAATAATTTTAGACATCCACTAATGCCTTGTTTTTTCAACAAATATTGATTCACAAAAAGAATTTCCTTTTAACAGCCCTTCGTAGTCCACTCTTGGACATAGGCCCCCCCTGCCAGATTCCATGCTACTTTGTCTTGTGCTATTTTATGCTCAACTCTACCAACCGTATCTTTGACATCATCCAGCCGTTTCTGGGGCCTACCAACACTTCTCTTGTGCAGTCGTGGTCTCCACTGCATTATGCGATTTGTCCACTTTGATTCATTCTGGCGGGCGACGTGTCCAACCCAGCTCCATTTTAACTGGACTGTACGTGCTATGACATCCTCGACTTGGTAATGGACTCGTCCTCGACTCGATGGAATGTCCCTAAGACTTAGTCCTAGCGCCTTTTGCGTTGTT